TATAAGCACTGAAGCGAACAAATGAATGAATATTAAAGATGAAAGAAAAAAAAATAAATGTTTTTTTTTTTTTCTGGTTGAATAATGTTCAGAAGTGAAAGGGGGGAGGGGAGGGGAGGGGAAAAAAAAAAAGAAAAGAAAATAGGCAAAGGAAAAGACTTTAAGAATTTAAAATAAATATATATTGAAAAGTAGTTGAATAACTGTGAAAAAGTGTCTGGTTATTTTTGGTTTGCTGCTGCTACTGTACTCAGTTTCTTTTTTTTTTTTTTGTAGGTTTCGAAACCGATTATTTGTCACCGTCTATTTTTGTTAATTCATTTTGCTATAACCTAACTGTTTTTTCAAATGACATTTTTGCGGTTCAAAATTTTTTCACTGATCTGATTTGGCAAAACAGTGTAAATTTTGCAACAGTAACAGATACTTTTTGCATTGTACAGATATAACTAAGTGTAGGTATTTGGGGCAGTAGTTTTTTTTTTTTCCGCTTTTGTTCTTCTTCAACAATTTTTTCTCTTTTGCAAGTAAGTCATTGTTTTAGTTCAAAATTGCTGAAAATTAGTTTTTTTTTTTTATTTTTCTTTGTAGGTACAAAGGGGGAAGGAAAAGGAGAAGAATGAGGAGGAACGGAAAAGCGGCAAGCGGTTAAACGAAAAAAAAAAACAGACAGATAAGGGGGGCTTTGTTATGTATTCTCTCTTTTTTTTTTTTGCTTATTATAATTGGGTAGTAATTTCTTTTTATTCAGCTTTTTTTTTTTTTCGTGTTTTTCTGTAATATATCATTGATTTTTCAGGTAAATACTTTTTTTTTAATAATGTTCTTTTTCTATTGTGCTTTACCGGTTTTCTTGTGTTCCTTTCTTTTTTTTCCTTTTTTTTTTGTTTAAATTTGTGCGATACCGTCAGAAAATTTTGTTAACTTTTTTTTTTCGAACTTTTGTTAGGGCTGATAAAAGAAAAGGTTATTTTTTGTTCTGTTTCGTTTTTTTTTTTGCCAAATATTGATGAGCCCAAAAAACTGTGATGTGTTTTTGTTGGCATTATCGTTGCGAACAAAGTTGACGATAGATTTTGTCATTAATTTTGATCACTTGTAATGTCGTTTGGGAAGAAGAGCGAAAAAAAAAAAAAGCAAACATGAAAAACAAAGCAGTTAAAGGTTTGTAAAAAGAAAAGGAGTTTTTTTTGCATAATTTATTTATTTTACATGTCATATTTTGTATTAATAAATGGTAAACTATGGCTTATTCTGAGCCACTGTTTTTTTTTTCTTCTTCACTTTTCTCTTATCATTTTTTTGATCGACGTAACGCCATTATAAGTTCAGAATTTGTGGATGTTAAAAGAAGGTTACTAATGTGACTTACACTTAACCTTTTTTTTTTAATACAAATAGCTCCTTTTTTTTTGCTGCTTTTTGTTTAGATTTTTAAGGGTATCATGAATTTATTGATGTTCTTTTGCTGCATAAGTTACAGATTCTATTAGACCAGTTACAAATTTGATTTGTTCATAGTCAACTGAAAAATACAATTGAAAAAACATACGTCAAACATTATCATAGCACTGCAAATAAGCAAAAAATAACAAGAGAAAGTTCTGTTTTTGAGAGGTGCTCTTATTTTTCCAAATATCTCTGTTCCAATCTGAAATAAGAGGTGGGAAAAGAGGCTAACATTTTTGGTAATAAATCAGGTAACTTTGAGGTATTAATTGGAAAGATTTTTTTTTCTTGTTTTCTCTGTATAATAATATCTGATATGTTTTTGTTCAACAAATTCTATTCAGAATATAATTGCTATATTTCGGCATTGTTTCATTGTAATTTTTATGACTGCTTCTAATGGGACCATTTTGTATAATACCATTTTTAAATTGCACTTCTGACAGATTAACTGATCTGATGAATTTTACTGACTGCTGTTGGCAACACATTGAAAGGCATTTGCTGACTTTGGTTTTATTAAAATTATTTACAGATATTTGGTAGAAAAGGTGGTTTTTTTCGTTTTACTTTTAAAAAATTGTATTGAATCATATTTGAATATAGAATGATATCGAATTTGAATGATAGTTATTCATTTGCTTCTGATATGCTGTTACATATTTGTTATGCGTATGCACAATGAGAACTTTTCAATCATTTATTTCTATTCATTAGTCATTTTTGATTTGTCTGAGTATTTGTCAATGATTATTATATCCTAAACATGTTTGAATCAAAAAAACTGCTTAACAAACTACATTTTTAATGGTTTCAGAATATTCTTTGACTGGTAAAAAAAAAGCTGAAACATGCTCACCATATACATATATTTTCTGAGAGTGAAGAAGATTTTTTCTTTGTCGGGGGAGAGGAGTAGACGAGAAGAGGCAGGGGACGGGACGTTTAAAAGGCTAAAAAAGGAACAAGACAGAAAAACAGCTTTATTCAAGTTAGTTGACTAAAGTTTAGTGTTCGTCCTTACGCTGTATCGGAGAACGACAATAAGTCCTATTGTCTTTCCTTAATGTCTCCAGATAAGAACAGAGTAAAGGAAGGAAAAAACCACTTACCAGCTCAAGAAAAAAAGTAAAAAAAAGCTTCCGATAAAAAGCTAAATTTTACCTTTTATCATTGAAACTTATGAACTGTGAAGAGCTGACCAAGAAAAAAAATTCTCAAAATAGAAACTATTAGAATTTGCAAAAAGCTTCTTTTTTTCTATAAAAAGCACAAACAAAAACCCGACATGTTTTGAACCATCGGATGTCTCAGACATCAATTAATACAACAGTTTGTTTCCATTCTTTTTTTCTTCTTTATATCTATGATAAAGGACAAAAAAGAAAAGATTGTGAAAATAGGTGGTAAAAGAAGTAAAAAAAATATGTTAAAGATAAAATTTTTTCATCACTTTTCTGTCAGTTGATTAAGGAGTAAAATAGAACAAACTTTTTTGTACAGAATTAAATTTAGTTAATTTGCGTATGGACGGGGATGGGGATGGGAAACGGGGAAGGTAAGATTTGTAAGTGAGATGGAGGGGCGGGAAGAAGGTGGAGAGGGAGGCGGAAGCTGTTCGTCTGCTGATTTGTCAATTCGTTTCGTCTGCATACTTTGAGACGCCCACAACAATCTGTGATCATTGGTTTTGGCCCTCCCGTCCCTTTCTGTTTTTTTTTTTGCCAGTATCTGACAGTGTTTTGTCTTTGTTTTGATTTTTTTTCAATGGTTTATTCAGTTTAACATATAATTTTTTCTTGAATAAATTTTAAAAATTTATAAGAGGAAGAGAAGATGATAGACAATCTTTGTTTTCAAGAAGTTTCTAATTTTTTTTCTTTTTCCTTTAATCAGAACATTTTACAGACACATTGCCAAAAAACAAATAAAGAAAAATGGAAAAAGATACAGAAGCAAATAATGTGTGCCAATTAGGTGATAATTGATGAAAAAAAAAAAAAAAAATCCAAAACATACACGGAAGAAGAAGAAAAAGAAGAAGGAGAAGACAAAGGAGAAGAAGAAGAAGGAGAAGGAGAAGCAGTAATCAACAAACAAACAGACAAATGAACAAACAAACAAATTTGATATCATTACGTTTGATAAAAAAAAAAAATTGAGCTTTGGTAATTTTTTTTGCTTCATTTTATCAATCTTTTTTTCTTGTTGACAAATTATAATCAAAATAAAACTGTTTAACACAGAATATGTCATGTAAAAAAAGGGGAAAAAAAAAAGTTATAGAGATCTATAAGGCTTTTATATATATTGGTACAAATTCAATCTGCAGCTGTTTCAGCTCAGTGACTGTTTTTCAAATACTGCTTTCTGTGCCACAAAAAAAAAAAAGTATTGGCTTTTTAAATTTCAAAAACTTTAATAATTGATTATTAGGTTGTTTTTTTTCTTCTTTTCCAAAGTTGAATTTGGCAACAATAACAAAAAGAAACAAACAAACAAAAAAAAAAAGGATTTAAAAAACTTATTCTAACTGTTCAGATGTGTGCCACTGTTTTTTTGTTTTTACAGATTTATGTTGTAAAAACGGTACGGGTTATGGTTTTTTCCGTCTCAAATGCTTAAAAAAAGCAATATGAAAGCTGAAAATATATGAGAGAAAAACAAGTTCAAATTCAAAAAAAAAGTTTCAAAGAGAAGGCTCGAGCAACGGGATGGACAGCAGTAGTAAAAAAAAAAATATGGATACAACAACAATCAGCATAAATAATCTTCTTATGTATACTGATAAAATATCGGCAAAAATCATTTCACTGATTTTCAGCTGCATTATAAAAAATATTTTGTCAAACATAACAGCACAAAAGCAGACGAAATGAAAAAAAACCAACAAATGATTGATGCAAATTAAAAAACGTTTAACAAACGTATAAACAACGAAGAAACAAAAAAAAAACCAAAAACTTGAAAATGACCTAAAAATACACTGGAAAACCAAAAAAAATACAAAAAAAACGATTAAAGAGGTAGTTGAATAAACGAAGTCAAAAAAAAAGATACCATTGTTCTAAACGACTGTCTTAGTTTGTTTTTTTTTATGATTTTAGAAAATAGAAGCGACAGGTGGCTAATGTTTTGTGAGAAAAAAAAAAGTATTAAAATTTTTTTTCAATTTTTTAAAATTTAGAAAAATCTTTTTCTGAGAGGCAACCAAAACAAAGAAGAAGGAAAAAAAACCAAAAATATTTTTGGAGATAATAGTTGAGCTTCTTTGTTTTGGATGTATTTAGTGAATTGCTAAGAAAATTTTAACTGTTCTGTTCACTGTTTCTTAGATATTAATAATCGGTTTTGTTTTTTCTTTCGTTTTTTTTTTTTTTTTTTT